GAAGAGCAGCTTCCTTACGTTTACGTTGGATCTTGCATACGCCTCACCTGGGAAAACCCCTTCGTGGAGGAAGGCAATCAAGCTTTCCTGCTGCAGGAATCAATTCCTGGGGAACGGCATCATCTAACCCTGCAGCAACCCAGAAATTGGGCTGCTCCTCTTGCATGTGGCAGAGCTGTGGGTGCAGAGCAGCCCCTCAGGTGAGGCTGAGGAAAGCCATGGAAGGCAAAAGCAAGAAATAAGCTGGAAAAGACATAGAAAAGCAGCGAAGGGCTTAAAGGGCTCCTGGAGAGGTGATGTCCATGCAAAGAACGATTGAAAATGTTACCTGCTAAATACTCCTGCAGTAAATCACGCAGCTCTGCATCTCAGCATGGCCGCTCTCCTGGTTCCCGTGGGGTTTTCAGTCCCTTCTTTAGCTTCTCTCAGTGGCTGAGGTGCTTTAGCACACGTTTGCTCTGTGCCTGGAAGAGGAGCCAAGGCCAGGAGCGATGGAGGGGGAGCAGCTATTTAGCATCCCTGCTAAAAAAATCAAAAGGCATTTTTAAATTTTTTCCCTTTATCCTAACCCATTGTCTCACGTGTTGCAGGCTGTCCCACTAGTGGGGAACATTTGCCATGGACAACGGTCATGTAAGCAGATACCGCTTAAGCGGTGAGTACTTCTGAGCGAGCCCCAGGGAAGGGTTTTGCGGGCAGAGCTGGCCACGGCTTGCATGGCGAGCTGCTCTCAGGAGGGATTGCTGATCCTCACTGCTTTCTGCAGGAGGAACTCTTTGCTGCACATGCGCATGGGGTTTAGTTTCCTAATACAAGCATAAACTGCTTAAAACCGCAAGGCTTTCCAACATTAGGTGCTCAGCCCTAGAGAATGGGCAGGTACGTGTAGGAAGTGGGTTTCCAGCTCAACTGGGATTTGCACCTGGAGTTATTCAGAAGTACGAGACAGTAAAGGGTTATTTTTCCCCAATTTTGCCCCCTGCCATAGTGGAGTGGGTGAACTCCTTGGAGCTGGACAGCACCAAAAACCTCCATGCGTAGGAGTGCCCTAGAAAGCTGCGGCGCTTCCCCCAGCATCCTTAGCCGGGGCTGCAGGGGATAAATCACAGCCCTTTGCAGATCATAAGGGGTTTGGGTTGGGGTGGAGGAAGAAGGACGTGGCTCCTTCCCCGAGGCTTTAACCCACGAGATCGCTCTGGGCTGCTTGTGGCCCTCTGGCAGGATCAAAGTTAGGTGCTTTGGATGCAGATAGTTGGTTCCTTTTGATACACCCCTTTGCTGGCTCCTGCCGGAGGAGGTTTGGGAGGGCGGGGGGAAGCAGCGGGTTGTCCCTCTGCTCAGATGTGATGTGGGAGTAAGCCTGGCTTGGGCTTTTTCTGGCTCTGAAGCTGCTGCTGAAGGAGGGAGCGCCGCGGCGTGACGTGGGAGGACTCCCCAGCAGTGCTCTGTAATGAGAAATCTTCCCCCCCCAGTCCCTTTTTTTGTGTTAACAGTAAGTGAGTGGTGTTGGTTCAGTCACTGGTGTGATGGAGGCTGGTGCAATGCAGCAACAACTGCTCAGTGTACCATCGCAGGGCTGCTGTGTCCTCCCCGCTTTGCAGCCGCAAGCCCGGGCTTTCTCCTTCCTGGATCACATCAGCAGCAGTTGTGGGGTTTTCCCCATTTCCAAAAGCTTTTTGTTTGTGTGTTTGTTTGTTGGGTCTTTTTTTTTTTTTCCTGTTTCTGGATTTTCTTGGCATCCTCAGCCCGTGGGAAACCAGGCAGCAGTGGGGCTTTCCCTGTGGTGGGAAGGGCGATCAGATGTGCGCTGAGCACAAGTGGGACAGATCTGTAGCTGGTGAAGGGGCCCCCCGGCACCCCTGGGGTGATGCAGCCATTCACTGATCTTCTTTGTTTGCTGGGGAACAAGGCTGAAATACATGTGCACTTCACCTCCCAGGAAACAAAGTGAGGACTGTGATTTTTTTGGCTTGTAAAGCTGCTGCCCGACACCATTTGCAACCCGCCCAAGTGGGACGCTGTGGTTTATCCCCCCCCGTGGCCGATCCCATCCTCACAGCTTAGAGCTGAGGTTCTGGCATGGGAGCAGCAGAGGATGAAGCCTCTGCCCTGGGGTCGTGGCCGGCTGACGGTGCCTCTTGTCCCCTCACAGTCGCCACGAGCCCGCCTCGGTGGGAGATCGGTATCTACGCTGCCGGCGCCTTGGCACTGCTGGGGATAGCCGCCGTCAACCTCTGGAAGCTCTGGCGCTCCGGCAGCTCCCCGGCCCCTTCCCCCTTCCCCAACTACGACTACCGATACCTGGAGCAAAAGTACGGGGCAGCGTATTCGGATGTCAAACACAAGGTAAAAGGGTGGAAAGTTTGGCTCCCCTCCTTTCCCTTTGCAACACGCGAGCCGCTGGAGGGGCAAAAAATATTGCCTGCATCCTCTTGCGGGGGGGAAAAGCCACGGGCAGTGACCTGGTGCTGCTGGGGAGTTTGAGGGATCAGCACAGAGGTGTAAATAGGGCTTGGGAGCCGCAGGAGGTGCAGGGTTTGCTGCCGCGGCAGCTTGAGGCCAAGCAGGGGCTGTAAGGCGTCCAAAAAGGCGCCAGTGAATCCCAGCTGTCCCCGGCTTTGTACGGAGGGATGGGATTGCATCACCTGGTTTTCCCTTTCCCTGTTCACAGCGAGGGATGGCCCCGAGCTCGCAGAGGGCGCTGGATAAGACCTCACCCATCCGCAAGGCCAGCCTGCGGGCAGATGACACCTTCGAGAGCATTAACGAGCTGGGGAGCCTGGAGCTGATGAGCAAAGACCTGGGCTTGGCCTCCTACGGCCCCTTGAAGAAATCCATCTCGGCTGACTCCCTCAGCTCCATCTCCTCCATCGGGAACAACTTTGGGCAGGATTTCACAGTGGGGCAGGTGGAGGTCTCCATGGAGTACGACGGGAAGGCAGCCACCTTGCACGTGACGCTGCTGCAGGGCAAGGACCTGCTGGAGAAGGACGACGCTCGCTTCGAGTCCTGCTTCATGCGCATCAGCCTACTCCCGGCCGAGCAGATCGTCGGCATCTCCCGGGTGAGCCGCTTGCCCCTCTTTGCATGAAAACCCCATGTGTACGTGGCATCGCTCACCACGTGCCCGCTGCAGCCTTCGCTTTTGGGTCGCAGCATCCCTCGGCCAAGCTCCCCGAGACAGTGATGGGCCCTTGGGAGGAGGGAGGTCCGGACACGTTGGGGCTGGGTGCGGTTGGCATGGGATTTTTGCAGCCCTGCTCAGGGAGTTCAGCGTTCTGTGGCATGGGGGGGTCCCAGCTGGGTTTGTGCATCAGAGACCTGGCAGAGGCAGAAATTTCCCCCTCTTGACTGGGACGTGCGATGACTTTGTCATCTCTGAGCGTGGCTTGCGGCAACTTTTCCTGCTCAGCTTCCCCTGCTCTGGGGGCCGGGGATGCTGAGGAAGGTGGAGGAAGTGGCCGCGGGGGGGATTTGGGGAGAGGCAGCATTTTGGGGACATGCTGCTGGCATCGTGCCGTGTCCCCGCATACTTGATTCACCCTAACGAATCCCGAGCGCGGCGCCCCACGGTCGCCTCTCCTTTCTGCAGCAGCCGCGATGCTTTCCCTCCCCACATGGGAGGAGGTGGCCAAAGATCCAGGTGGCTGTACCGGCACCGGCAGGGCCAGAACCAGGGGTGTTTTTGGGGTGAAACATCCCTTTTCAAGTGCACCAAAAGCTGCTGTCAGAAAGCAGGAGCCTCAGTTTTCTTTCAGCAGCTGCTTTTTGCAAACCTCAGAGTTAGCCAGTTTGATTTAATCAAGATATTCCAGAAAGGAGCAGAAAGCTTCATCCCACTAAAGAAACCTTTCCACGGGGTGGAGGTACCTTTCCAGTGAGCACAAAACCACTGCCTTTAAAATATTTCCACAGCGCCCTTTTAAGACCATTTTTCCATCCAAAGATCAGGCTTTTTATTTATGCTCTGGAGATATTTATTATTTAGCATCATTATTTATAATTCACCAGCGCTATTTACCCTCTTTTGCTGTCCTGAGACAAGTCATAAAGACACATTTGGTTCTTTTCCTTTAATGCTTTGCAGTACTTATGTGTTTGTTTTTTTTTTAAATAGAAGCTAACATCTCTGTTGTACCTTCCATCCAGAGATCCCAAAATATAATGTCAGCTGCAGACAGATAGTCATTGGTGCTATAAAGCAGATAGCTGCAAATCTGCTTTTCCCATAGAGGTACTTTAATCCCCCAGGGACTCTAGGGATCGGTGGTATCCGATGGGAGAGCGTGGGACCGCTGCACTAGGAAGGGGATGATGGAAGGTACCACCTCGTGAGCTGCTTCGTGTCTTTCGTCCCAGGGATGGAGCACATCTATGAGAAGACAGACAGATGTGAGAAAGTCCTTGGGATGAGATGAACCATCTCCCCACTGCTGCTGGGGAGTCCGGGCGGCTCTTGGGGTGATGAAGCCTGATGGGTTCAGGGCTGAGCCCCCTGCTCCCACAGCAGGATCCCTTTTCCACTGCAGCACACGGCTTTGGATGGGTAGCAGGGAGCTGGTGGCTCCGCTTTGCTCCGTGCCATCCACGGCTGCGGCTTTCCATCCCATGGGAGCACCAGGCCCCCTTTTAGCACAAAACCCTGACTTGTGGGTGGTACCTTGGACGCCAAAAGAAATAAGGCTGGAGTAGGGGAAAAAGAGTCTCTAAAGCCATGATTTCAGAGCAGTTCCCCCCACCAGCGCTTTCGGACCGGGTAGTGACCAGCACCCTGCAGGATGGGGCCCCGGGAAGTTGCTGCTGCGTTTGCTCCAAATGAATGATATGACGCAGAGATGATGTCTGGCAAAAAGCATCATCCCCATTTGGCACGTTTAGGGCTTGTGAAGCCCGTGGGCTTCGGAGAGGGGCTGGGGGTTACACCCCCTCGGCCAAAACCCGTAGCCTGGAGCGGCCAAATCCCGTAGCCTGGAGCGGCTGAGCCAGCCACACATCCGAGCTCCCAGGGCACAGGGATGCCCGGCTCTTGCATCTGAGAGCACCAGACCAACCTTAAATTTTTAATTAAAAGAATTAATAGGCAACGGGGCAGGTCGTGGCCCCTATTTTCTACCCCAATTGCTGAGCGGCTGCTGCAGTCAGGTGGGAAATAACTTTTGTCTTCATGGAGGCTGGGACCCCCCAGCTCCTTTGGGAGCCACCCCAGAGCCGTGCACTCCTTGCAATTCCCACGAGCGAAATGGGGTAGATCTCAGATGCGGCCCCAAAACCCAGTGGGTATCAAGGCAATCCCCCCCTTCCCCGTGGCAGATTCAGCGGAGCGCCTACGCCGTGGCCTTCGACGAGCGCTTCTCCATCCCACTGGACCCAGTGGCGCTGGAGGAGAACAGCCTGCGCTTCTCCGTCTTCGGCATCGACGAGGACGAGAGGAACGTCAGCACTGGCGTGGCCGAGCTCAAGCTCTCCGACCTGGACCTGGCCACGCGTCCCTTCAACGCCTGGCTCTACCTGCAGGACATGAACAAGGTGAGCAGGGGGGTGTGGTCCATCTCCCACCCAGGTTTTTTGGGGGGTTTCTCCTCCCTGGGGGCTGGGGTCGATGGGTGATGGGACGTTGTGCCCCGCAGGCGGTGGACACGGTGGGGGAGATCCTGCTCTCCCTGAGCTACCTGCCCACGGCCGAGCGCCTGACGGTGGTGGTGGTCAAAGCCAAGAACCTCGTGTGGACCAACGGCAAAGTGACCGCAGGTGAGTGGGGGATGCTGGGTGGGCACAGGGGTCCCTTGGTCTTCCGCAGGCTGGAGGTAGGCTTTCATCCCGGTTTATCCTACTATGCTACACAGATATTTATTGGAGTGGCTCCCGCTGAGGACAGACCCTACCAGGAAGGTCCACCAGAGATGGTTTTCCCCACTTTCTCCATCTCGCAGGGGAAAGGCATGACTGACCACGGGGTTTTTCTCTCCCCCCCACCCCGAGCAGATCCCTTCGTCAAGGTGTACCTGCTGCAGGACGGGAGGAAGATCAGCAAGAAGAAGACAGCAGTGAAGAGGGATGACACCAACCCTGTGTTCAACGAGGCCATGATTTTCTCGGTGCCGGCCATTGTGCTCCAGGTCCGTCCCGGCTCAGGGGACATGTCCCAGCCTGGGGGGCACATCCCACTGCTCCTCGAGGTCCCCAGGTCCCTGCGCTAGTGAGGACTCCCTGGGGTGTGAGAGGTTCTGGGGGGATCATAGGAGCTGTGGGGTGGAGGCCATATATGCACCTATATGGTTTGGGGGGATGTACGCATGGGGTAGGGGGTATAGGGGGATATGTATGTATGGGGTATGACTGTTGGGGGGGAATGGGTATGTGTGGGTTGGGGGATATAGGGGTATGCATATGTATAGGGTATGGTTGTGTATGTGGACGGGTGCATATATGGATTTAGGGGATGTGGGGAAAGTAGGGGGATGTGTAATTATGGTGGTGGGGTATAGGAGGATGCATATATACGGGGTATGGTTGTGTATGGGGATAAGCATATATAGTTTTCAAGTACGGGGGGGTGAGTATGGGGCAATGAGTATGAATGGGGTGGAGGTATAGAGGGGTGTGTAGATACGGGGTATAGCTATTTTGGTGGATGTGTATTTATGGGGTGGGGGATATATAGGGGATGTGTATGTATGGGTTAGTATTGGGGGATATGTTTGTGTGTGCATGTGTGGCTGGGGAGCGTATGGGGCTATGTATATA